AGTACAGCGAGCTGCACCGCAAGCGGTATGGGTACCGGCTGGACTACCACGAGAGGAGGAGGAAGAAGGAGGGCCGCGAGGCTCACGAGCGGTCGCGGAAGGCCAAGAAGATGATCGGGCTGAAGGCCAAGCTCTACCACAAGCAGCGGCATGCTGAGAAGATACAGATGAAGAAGACGTGAGTACCCGCCGCTTCTCTGACGCCGTCCAGTCATCCTGACCTTTGCAGGATGAGATGAGACGTTAACGTCGTTACAAGGAACGGCTTATTACTTGGGTCGCACGTTGTACTTCTAAATAGCGCTCAGGTTGTAGGAGAAAGTGGGTTTTGCCACAGTGGAGACATTTCTGATTTCCTCTCTTCTCAGTGGGTGTTAACAATTATGCCCCTGAAAGCGTACCTTAAGATAAGTGTTAATTAGCAGTAGCGGTGACTAATGTAATTATGACAAAAATACGAAGGCGTTCATTTAGGTCTTTTATATCCGCTGCTGTATTAGTGTAGCAAAAGCCAGCAGACATTTTTTAACAGCGTTAATAGAAAAAGTACAGTAACGTACAGTGTTTCAGCAGAACATGAGGCTTGTCTTTCAGGATAAATTACAATATCAAGCATAGATACACAAAAGCGTTTTTCTGAAAATTTTCTCAGGTGTTCAGAAACTGAAATCAAAGTTGTTAACAATATTCTTTGTTGCTAATGAACTTAATATTTATCCACCATGTTGTTTTTGTTGTTTTCCAAGTGTAGACAGCTGCTATCCTTTGCTAGTTGTAAAGGTATTGGGTTTGTTAACTAGTTTGTGGGTCTCTTTTTTTCCCCCTAGATGGCCTCAAAATTAACGAAACACAACCCCTTTTACAAGCACAAGTTCCTCAGATTTGTAAGCATTGCCATCAAATCTCAGAAAAGTACTAGGATGTTATTTTTTGTCAGAGAGGAAGGCTGCTGCCTCTCAAAGTGTTTGGCTGCTTGTTTTAAGTCATTCAGAAGTTCCTTAATAAGATGCATGTCTTGTGTTCCTGTCTTGATGGGAACTGACAAGCTTTTATGCACTGTGCAGTCTGTCAGTTGTTACATTAAGTGAAATTACTAGTTTACCTTGACAATTATTTAGGATTACTCCTTAAACAGGTACATATTTATATTTACGAATACCTCTTAAAAGAAAATTTTGAGCAGGCACAAGCTATGTCAAAAGGATATATCTAAAATGAGCCTTTCTTTTTTCTCTCTTAACACTGTTTTTCTTTCCTTGTAGTATTAAAATGCATGAAAAGAGAAACACAACGAGAAAGAATGATGAAAAAACACCTAAAGGAGCTGTACCAGCATACCTGCTGGACAGAGAGGGCCAGTCCCGGGCTAAGGTTCTCTCTAACATGATCAAGCAGAAAAGAAAAGAAAAAGCTGTAAGTAACTGTATTAACATTCAGCTACTTAAAATTACTTGTGACAATGACCACTTTGTGTTTCTGATGTTCAGGTGACTTACAGCCTACAAGCAAAGTCTAAATAAAATCTGAAACCTTGAATAGTTGAGCAATCTAGAAGAAAGTAATCATATGCAATATCTTGAATTTCATACCTTTAAACGCTAATTAAAATAAATAGCTATGAGTTGTATAAAAAGTATGGTCTACCACTGCGCTTTAGGGAAATTTTATTTTATGCTTTGGTTGTCCCCTTTTCATTTAGCAATGCAGCATGTAAGACTATTGACTTTTTTTTCCCCCCCTTCCAGGGGAAATGGGAGGTTCCTGTGCCAAAGGTCCGTGCACAAGGAGAAACAGAAGTTTTAAAAGTGATTCGTACAGGAAAGAGAAAGAAGAAGGCCTGGAAGAGAATGGTTACAAAAGTTTGTTTTGTTGGCGATGGCTTTACTAGGAAGCCTCCTAAATACGAGCGATTCATTCGACCAATGGTAATGTTCTTGAGCCTTAAAGAATGTTTAAGTAATAATTCTTTTGACGTACTGCTTTGGGTTCCTGTGGCGGGGAAACTTTCTTCCGTGACAGTGCACTTGGTTACTGCTGATGTAGAACATTCCTATTAGTTTCCTTGCAGAAATCTAAACTTCAAATAGCCTGAGGGTGGGGAGATGCCCCTGCAGTCACAGTCTATGTTGAAATATCTCTGCTCTTACTCCCGTAACTCAGATGATGCCAGTAAGTTAAAGCTTACAAGCTGCCGAATTAGCACGGGAAGGTCTTTAGCAAAGGCACTTTGCATAGCTTTTAAAGTTAGAGGCTTCTTTTTCAAGCTGATGTCATTCTGTCAGTGGCAGAACCCAACTCTGTTCTAGGACTCCAGAACTCCCTCCTTTTGGCTTGTTAAGTAAGCTTGAAGCACAGTTGTGACCATATGCAAGGAAAAGGCTGTGCCTCCAGCCTGACCTTTTCTTACACGACTGCAGGAACAGTGCCTGGGCTGTAGGAGCCTGGTAATGCACAGGAGGAAAAACTACATTCGCTAAGGCAGTGTAATTTTTCTATAGAAACCTGTTCCTGTTTCCTCACAGGAATCAACAGAATCACTATGCAGGCTGCCATTTGGATTGTACCTCATTGCTAGTTTGATGGCCATCTTGCACAGAAGCCTTGGATAGATTTTTATTGACAGAGAAAAGTTTATGGTACTTAATGGTAAAGTACCCTTTATGAAGCACAGGTTGCTAGCTAGAAAGTGCTATAATATTTTACAATATGTGAAAGGTTTTTCAGTTTTACAAGAAAAAAGGAAAAATTTCTAGTCTTAAAAACCAGTAGCACTGTTAAATGTGTTACCATAAATGCCTCATTTCTTCATGGAACAGAAGCCATCTGAGGTAGCAGGTATTATTCTTGTACTACTATTAAAATTGACATCCTGAAAATATACACGCAACGCTTTTTGTTGTCATTAATCAGCTTTTTAAACAGATTGGCATGCTATAGTAGGCAGATAGCATTCTGTATTCTAAGTTTCATTCCTCCCAGTCTCTCAAAACATGTGGACATAATGCTGAAAGGGTTAAACTAGATTAGTCGTGAGGGCTTAAAGCAAATACTAACCCTTTTGAACACTCCTTATGCAACAGGGCTTACGTTTCAAGAAGGCACATGTGACACATCCTGAACTTAAAGCTACGTTTTGCCTGCCTATCCTTGGTGTAAAAAAGAATCCTTCTTCTCCTTTGTATACAACACTGGGAGTTATTACCAAGGGTACCGTCATTGAGGTGAACGTGAGTGAGCTTGGTCTCGTGACGCAAGGGGGCAAAGTTATCTGGGGTAAGTAGTTAAACTAGCTGTGCTGCAGGACTACTTTTAAAAGTTTTAAGTCATCGTTGCCTGATGTATTGTCAAGACCACATCCTATAGTTGTAATAGATTGATTGCTAAATGTTAGGTTTGGGCTGTAGCAGAAGCAACTACTAGGCAACTCTAAAAAAATGCAAGCTGTAAGTTTTAATCTTAGGCTTTCCATTCACACTTCCAAAATCCAATCAGGTGAAGTTCAGAACAAAGACTCAACTTGCTTGCCCGCGTCTCACATTAAGCAATGTTACAAGTCTATAAAGACCTAACGATGTGAACTATGAACAATTGCACAATGTTTTCAGTGGAAGTTCTGTGTAGAAGTATCTTCAGAGGATGAGGCTGACTTCTTTTAACAGCGGGGTTGACTTGGACAAGTAGCAGAACCTATGAATTTTTTGTTTTAAATGTACCCATAACTCTAAATGATTCATTTTAAAAAAACAGTCTGAATAAAGTATTTTGAGAACCTAAGTTTGCAGCTCAGCAGAAGGTAGATTGAGATTTCAAAATCAATTTCAGTTTTGGAACAGGAATTCCATATACTTTAGAGAGACTTGTGGATTGAACTTGCAAACATTAACAAAAAAAATAATTATATGAACTACTTCAAGCTTTTGTAGACATTTAATTCCCTTTTCTCTTTAGGGAAATATGCACAAGTAACAAACAATCCAGAAAATGATGGCTGTATTAATGCAGTTCTACTTGTTTAAGTTGTGTTTGATACTAAGCGTTGGACATGGGCTCCTGCAAAATCAGTACAGTTTCAACAAGTTCGCAAGATCTCGGGAACCTTCAGCCATTCAAGAACATTGACCCCACAAGCTGGTGAGGAACTGAAACATGCCAGAAACGACTGCTCGCATTTTTATATTTATTATGTTTGCTCAGCTGAACACTGTCCAAATAAAGTGATTCAATTTTCATGTTTTGCTAATGCAATATGGATTTAATCTAAGCCTTCTTAGGAAGGCCCTACAGAGGGACCTGGACAGGCTGGATCGTTGCGCCGGGGCCAACGGTACGAGATTCAACAAGGCTCAGTGCTGGGTCCTGCGCTTGGGTCACAACAACCCCAGGCAACGCTACAGGCTGGGGGAGGAGTGGCTGGAGAGCTGCCCGGCGGAAAAGGACCCGGGGGTGTTGGTCAACAGCCAGCAGTGTGCCCAGGTGGCCAAGAAGGCCAATGGCATCCTGGCTTGTAGCAGGAATAGTGTGGCCAGCAGAGCAGAACCAGGGAGGTGATAGTGCCCCTGTACTTGGCACTGGTGAGGCCACACCTCGAGTCCTGGGTTCAGTTTTGGGCCCCTCACTACAAGAAGGACATTGAGGTGCTGGAGCGTGTCCAGAGAAGGGCAACAAAGTTGGTGAAGGGTCTGGAGTGGCTGAGGGAGCTGGGGTTGTTTAGTCTGGGGAAAAGGAGGCTGAGGGGGGACCTTATTGCTCTCTACAGCTACCTGAAAGGAGGTTGTAGCAAGGTGAGGGTCAGTCTCTTCTCCAAGTAACAAGCAATAGGACAAGAGGAAATTGGCTCAAGTTGTGCCAGGGGAGATTTAGATTAGATATTAGGAAAAACTGCTTCACAGAGAGAGTGGTTAGGCATTGGAACAGACTGCCCAGTGAAGTGGTGCAACCACAGTCCCTAGAAGTATTCAAAAAAACATGTGGATATGGTGCTTAGAGACATGGTTTACAGGTGGACCTGGCAGTTACGTTAACAGTTGGACTTGATGATTGATCTCAGAGGTCCTTTCCAACCTTAATGATTCTACGATTCTTAGTGCTTTTACAGTAGCAGTTTCCTGACTTAGATATACTGTATAAATACTTCATTCAGCTCACATTCCTAGTGATGGGAAACACAGCCGCTGTCACCCATGATGGCATAATGTCATAGCTGAAGATACAGAAGAGTATCTAACTTGTATTCTGTTTCTGGGAAAGCTGAAGAGCTGGACGAATGCAGCTAGAATCTAGCTGCAGACTGGCATCAGAAATTGAACGCTCAACTGCATACTTGCCCCTACAGAAGCATGGGCTTGAGAACACATGAGCAGCATAGCGATGCAGGAGGGGAAGGTAACTGGGAGGGCAGCTATTTTCATCCCCCCATTACCTCATGTCTTTCTCCCCTTTGCCTCCATGACTGCATTAATGGAAAGAACAAGGGCTGGAGAGTGTCATACCACAGTTCCAGGCAAGAGGACAGTTTCAGAAGTTTAAATTTATGAAGTTGTAGGGGTTTTAAGATGTGAAATTTGAGCATGGCCTGACAACCCTGATATTACAACTACTTGTAGCTATTTCAGTGGCTTTAAGAAACACTGAAGAAAAACTAAAGGTCACGAGTGTCAGCTGATCAACATATATTTAGCTTGCATCCTCAAAATACAAGAAACAAAAGCTGCTTCTAAACTACCAGCAATGCTGTATACAACTGCATCAGTAACCTTCCAGTCAAGAATTTGGTAGTAAACAAACTTAACACAATGTATCACTACGAATAAACATACTCACCATTTTATACTCCTACTCTCAAACAGTACTTCACTTCAAGCCAAGGAGCTTTTAACATAAATTCCAAGTCAAATCCTTATAAGCTTTCTCCAGTTTATGAGGGCACTCTCACCCCTCAACATTGTAAGAAGGAAACTTTCAAACAAAACTCTTAAGATATTTCATAAGTCAGAATGTGAATAGGTTTGCGTTGGGGTTTTTTGCATTAACAAAAGTTTAAGGCTAGAGGTGGTCATGCGCAATAAGCAGGCGGAGTAGCAGATTATAGAATCACAGAGTAGCTAAGGCTGGGAGGGACCTCTTGAGATTGTGTAGTGCAAGCCCCTTGCTTAAAGCAGTCAACTACAGCAGGTGTCCGAGGACCCCACCCATTTGAGTATCTCCAAGGATGGAGACTCCACCACCTCTCTGGGCAACCTGATCCAGTGTTTGACCACTCTTACGGTCTAAGATGTTTTATGTTTAAATAGAATTTCCTGCATTCCAGTTTGTGCCCACTGCCTCTTGTCCTGGGGCACCACTGAGAAGAGTCTTGCTCCATCTTCTCTACCCCCCCCCACGTATTTGTACACAAGGTAAGATCCTCCTGAGTCTTCTCTTCTCCAGGCTGAACAATTGCACCTCCCAGCCTCTACCTATATTTTGTGCTATAAACATGACTTGTTGGCTGAATAACACAATTGTTGCACTTAAAGAGATTTTAATGTACCACACTGTAGGGAGCGTGTTACAGCATTTCTAGTTGGCCTGTCTATAGCAAACTACATTAATAACTGCTAAGTTTACATCATCTGGCATAGCTGGTAAACAGCAGAATGCATGCTGTAACATTCAGAAGAGCCTATTCTACAGCTTTTTTATTAAAAAGTCTGATGCATAAGCGAATGAAGTATAGGAAATTGTTTTACTCAATAAAAGATTTCTCAATTAATAATCTTTAAGCTTTTAAAGCACCTTGGTAGCTGACAAATTGTAAAATGATGCTAGTTCCAGTGAACTGAACCACTAATACATGCCTTCTGTATAGCAGAAAGGACTCAAATACTAAAAACCAAGAAAAAAAATAATCACAAAATATAAGTTTAATTACTACTTCAAAACATTTCAAAAGCAGCCAAGACAGTACTAAGAAAAGGAAAAACTAACACTGTAACAAGACTTAAGTACAATACTCTAGAATAGCAACACATCTTTCGTAAGATTTATAAACAGGGTATCACTAGTTTAGAAAACACCTAACACCACATTTGTGAAAATAAATTTAGAAGTGCATCCTCTTGGAAATAAAACTTTAGAATGGTCACTTAAAGCAGAGAAGCTGAAGCTTAGACCTATATGTTGCGATGTTTAACTTAGTAGTGTTGATGACATTGTAAAAGATCAATTTGATTACTGATATCCATGAAATGGTACAAAAAAACCAAAAACAAACCAAGGTCAGACATCATTTCAAATAAGTTAAAAGCACTTTTGAAATGACATGTATACATTTTCATGTAAAGGGCTATGAAACATGACAACAGCAAACACGAATCCTGCATGAAATAAAAGTAGACCAAAAGAGAATGTGGGAGAAGCAAAGCAAATCCTGATAAAAATTAACAAGCAGTACAAGAGAGACATTTGAACAAATGTTGGATTCAAATACAAAACCGTTTACCATTTAAGTGCAAGGCTGAAGTCACAAATTAATGTTCTTTAAACTCTATTCCTAGACTAAATAAAACTCAATACTGCTTTCACTGTACACATGTAGTTCCACACCATGTTGTAATAGCATTTGGTACAAACTTGTATAAAGTTGATGTTTTAATCAATGGTTGCTGGTGCAATAAGATCTTAAAAATTCTTTAAGAGTTTGATGGAAATAAGACAGACAGTTAACAGATGAAAAAAAAAATCATCCAAGCCTAAAAAAACCGCTGGTTTTCCCAAGGCAAAACACTTCAGTCAATACAGTTGTCAGATATGTTCCCTTGCATTAATATAACAGAAGGTATGGACTATTAAACTACTGTTCCAATGGGACAATCAGTACAGCAATAAAAACTATTATTTAAAGTCAGTATTTGGATTTTGCTACTCCGTATTTGCTGTAAGATGACTGATGCCAAAGAATTTACTGTAGAAATAAACTGCACCCTTTAGTTCAAAGTACTGCTGCGATCACAATTAGAACAATGTCCAGTTTTCAAGTCTGTACTGGTTATCGGAATTGCTAATTGCACCCCAACTGCCCACATTCTGTACAACAGTCTGGCCATCAGCTACTATCTCGGGTCCCCCAGATTTACAGAGGTATCTACTCAAGAGTATACTTAAAGATGTGAATTTAAGTTCAGTATTTAAAACTGGCTCACTGAAATGAGATCAGAAATCTGATTGTTCTCAGCAGAAAGCAAGACTGACCTAATATAATAATCTTGTGGTAATATTTATGTATTCAGTATGCAAGTGTTTTAAAAGAAAGATATTCATCAAAATCAGTTCCAACTTAGCCATGAAAAGTAAAAGCCAGATGAGTGACATTACCTTCTCATGAATAATGTTTTCCAACCTCACAGGGAATACAAGCAATAAGCATACATATCAAAAATCCACCTAGAAATAATTGAAATTACTGGGACTCACTTTTCATAAGCAAAAGAATCCTTAACTGTCTGAAAGTGATACATTTGTATCAATTGAAGTATTTAGCAGATTAATCTTCAGTAAAGCTTGCTTTAAAAATGGAAGATGAGTCACAATATACTGTATACAACCATCCTTTTTTAAGCCACCAACCCTCACAAATCCCAAATTCTTAGCAAAGTAATAGATGTGTTTTCTAGCCACTCTTTTTTTTACGCAATAAACCTTAGCAGTAAAAAACAAGCCATAGAGAAGATAATAGAAGTTTTCTCATGTGCTTTATAGAAAATGCTTCATTAGCTTTAGAAATGCTTAAGGTTCACTTGAATATGGTTACAATCATGGAAGATCTTGAACATTTATCAGTCATGGGGTTCATAAGGAGTACCTGTATGTACATGGATAGGAAGGTACAGCTACGTGCAATAGTTCAAGAAACCCAGATTTAACTCAGTAATCCCACGCACCCCAAATCTAATGTTTACATAATACACTTTTCTTAAAAACTGCACCCTTTTTTTTTCCCATAAGCTGCTCTTAACAGATTAAAAAGGAGCATGGTACTTCATCAGCTGAAAGAAACAGTACAAATATATCTTCTACATTTAAAATATCTTATCAATACAGTTAAACTGTATAAGCATAAAATCCAAAACCAGATTCTTGTATTAGCTTCACAGAGGGATAAAAGCTAAGACAGAATTGCAATTATTTAAGTGAACCTTGTACTCAGAAGTCCTGAACAGCAATTTCTAGATACCTCTATTTTTGAGACACTGTGGGAGACTAGTTCACTCATCTTAGCAAAGGCATATAGCAGGACAAACAGTGGTGCGATTTCCTTTTCCTAGAACCATTGTTCTTTCTTATTCCTGAGGTTTTAACCCATTACAAAAGGAGCTTCATTTATTGAAATAAACACATATCAAACTAAGGAGCAACTTATTGTATGTGCTACAAACTAAATTAAGTAATATTGTTTGCCAGGGGAACCTCTGAAGGGAGACACGCATGAAAAGCCTGTTTTTATTTCTATTTGCATACAGCAAAGTTTGGCTGCTGCTTTTAAGAAAAGCTGTGAACTGGGAAGCTATCATCCCATAGTTTATACCCAAGTTAGAAAAAGAAAGTGGGAATCAGAAGTATTTGCAAGCAATCACCTGCTAACTCCTAAAACCACAGAAGTTTGGCAAACAAGCATTTGCTGAAACACCCACTAATATTCACACTAATGAATGTCACAACCACCTGAAATGCCAGCACTCACAGGAGTCACACACCTGACAGACACAACATTTTAATAGTTACCCCACAGCACCAGCCAAGTATTTGGAAAACACGAAGCACCACTTCCATTCACACCAAAACGAGATCAAAAGTTGTCATATCCTTTTCCTGTAATGTAACAAGTAATCAAGTATCCACTCAACACATGCAAGTAGTTTGGAAGGCAGTTCAAACGATTCCGTATATATGTACTGGAGTCTACACTCTGTACACTCTGGAAAAACTTGGGCTTACCAAGATGCTTGCTTTAGAAGCTACAAATAGTTTACTGTGTAGGCATCTCTTAATCTTCACATAAAGAACTTCATTATCAGAGTGCGCTATGGCAGATATTGCGCTGTGTTTCTACTGATTCAGTTGTTTCAAGTGATTCTTATGAAAGACAGATGCTGCTTATGTTGTTTTGATCTACTGAGTTGTACCTTCTTGTGCATTTTGAGAACTAGAATCACAGAATCTTACATTTTTTCAATCTCATCTCATAAGATCTATGGGGAGGGAACAAGAAGCGAGGAAGGATTTTTGTTGTTCTGCTTCTATCCACAGTAGAGAACACAAAGTTATTTAGAAAAATGCTAGAGTGATGTCTGGCCTCATGGAAGTCTATGGGAATTTAAGGGACCCTGACAGGGCCAGGATTGCATGCTGCATTTTTCTTCCACAACTGCTACCTCAAATATGCAAACAGTTCCCTTTGCTAGCACAACTGTATTTATTCAGCATCTATCCTTTATAAAAGGAGGAGACTGGCTGTTTACTTTCATACTTTGATGAAGCTCAATGTCTAGTGGTTAAAAATTCAAGAAAACTTGAGGAAAGGTGATGAATCCCAAGAGGAAGTCCAACCCAGAATTTTAAGCATGTGTCCTGTGTCCCATATGGTTTAGTTACACCCTAGTGTTTTACACAAAATAATAAATTTCTTATAAATAGATGAATTAACAATCAATATTCACTTTTAAGCTGGCTTTCCTTTTTTCTTGGGTGGACCTTTGTAGCCTTTGGCCTTTCTTCGCAAGTTTCTCCGATCTACAATGGGTACCTCAATTTCTGCTTCCTCAGAGCTGCTGTCAGCAGCCCGCTCCGCTGCTGTCTGCGTGTACTGATCCATCTGCTCAGCAGACTCTTCTGAGTGCTCTTCCAACTGGTTCTTCTGTACTTCCTGTCCAGAAGGCTGCTGAAAAGAAACACCCTCGAGTTCAACCACTATCAAAGAGCTCTGACTCAAGGCAACAGGGGCCTCCTGTGAATTGTGCCCTGCTTCCTCACTTTGCTCTTCCAGAGAGGAAGCTGTTTTGGGCGATAGATTTTCAGAAACCGATTCTTCTGCTGCTTCGGTTACCATAGAGTTGGGCAGGCCATTGTCAGAGGGCTCTTCCTTCGATGCTGAAGCAGCTGCATTTTCAGTGGTGGTCTTTTCAGATTCTTGCTGCTCTTCAGTGCCTTCCTTTTCTACTGATGTACTTTCTTCAGTCAGCATTTCTGAATCATTTGCATTTAGAACCTGCAGGGGGGAGGGGAAAGGTGCCAAAACAACCAAAGGGCCAATTAATTGAAGATACAAGAGGCTGAACAACTACCATCCCTAGCTAGCAACCTCAGAGGATATTTTTGCATTCAGCAGTTTTTAATACTACGCGTACTGTCAACAAACCAGTCCTTTCCTCCTTTTTGCATGAGACTATTTTGCGAACTGCATTTGATATCCAGAGTTGCTCTCCTATTTTGAAATTATTCAAAGGATTATTCAGGTACAGTAAAAACATTCTGAAATTAATCCCAGGGAAAAAAAAAATATTTTAGACATATATAATTACCATTTTGCTAGCATTTTACAATCTGCTTTTGCACTATAAACAAAAACCGGTAAAATCTGTGTCTTACAAGGGTATTTTACCAGTAATTAAGTGCTTCTACACTTCATCAGGGCAGAATTACTACATAAAATAAGGATGTGGCTTTTTACTCATATCCAACTAATAGTATAGTGAGAAAGAGATGTTTCATTACTGCCAAGGCAAACTGGAGCAACATATCTTTCTTTTTAGTGTCACATGGATATATGCCCCACTTCTGCACATTAAAACAGAAATGTTAGTATATTCTGTTTATAGACTTACATCATCTGGCCTAGTAATCGCTTCTCCCAAGAATTTCATGTGATGGTAGGGTCTACTTTCTATCTGTTACTTAACAAAACAAAAAACAGCAAAATACGTACATTCTGAAGGAAAGATTACTTCACGTTTTCTTCAATTCTCTTACCTTCTCTGATACAGTGTCTTCTGAAGGTTTTGCCGGAGACTCAAGGATTAATGGAACAAACAGCGTTAAGGATTCTTCTCCTTGACTCTCAGACTGCAGTTTTGATTCACCACTTGAAACTTCATTTGTTGTTTCCTCTTCAGCCATAAGCGAAGTCTTACCAGCTTCTTCTGTTACCTCACCATTAAGAGGTTCTGATGGAGTTTCCTAAAACAAACAAACAAAAAACAACAAAAAAATACATTTCTAAGTCAAGATTATGCCCAGCCATTGTTGCCCAACACTAGTGGGTCTATCTGTGATCTAAATTTGCAGCTTAATGCAAGAAGCAGATGGCTTGGGTACCTAGAAATGTGTACTAAGATGGCAGAGCTTAGTGCAGAGTAGCTAAGTTAACCAGCGTATCAGCTTGGTGCTGTCACCTGCACTAAATTTCTGACCATAGCTTACACTGTTAGGAGCCAAGCAGTTTTTATGCATCTCAGAAGCATACATGCTGCAGTCATTCCTTGAACCCAACATAGTATAAGATCCACTTTCTCACCTATCAGTAAGAACATAAAACCCTGGAGGCATCATTAGGCACAAAGGGTACTCACAGATTTAAATTCAAGCTGTTAACAAGTTGTAGATAAAAGTTGCAGTTAAACATCAAAGCAGGCAAGCTTTAAGTGGAGAAGTAAAAAGAGCCAACAGTAGTCACTGAGAAGCATACCAGCTACTCACGTCTTCAAAGCAGCTTTTTTTTTTTTTTAAATTAGAGATACTGGATCAGATCTTGACATTACTCCAGTTCTCTGGAATATTTGAGTAGGAGAAATCAATTAAGAAAATTAAGTTGGTAGACAAGGTAGAAATTCACCTTACTGAAGATCCTATGAACTCTATTGTTTAAAATAAGTATAATGGAATATTCCCTGAAACTAATTCTATACTAGCCTTAGCTTCTCAGATGTACTTCTCAACAAAGCATCAGTACGAAAATCAAAGAGTTGATAGTTACATGGATCAAGGCAGCAAGGACCGTATTTAACAGAAACTGTAGTTGTATTCCAAACTTATCTGCTATCGCTATCACATCCAGCTCACCTCCTTCTCACTCCATTTCTCAGGGGGTGATACATGTAGCTCCACTTCTGATACAGACTGGCCCTCATTTTCAGCAATCGTTTCCTCATTTGTTTGAACAATCATTTCCTCATTTGTTTCAACAGTACTCTCCTCAAGTACTTCTAAGTCTTCAGAACTTTCAGCTGTGCGTGCAGGAAGTTCCAGCCTGCAGCAGGTATTAAGATATATCCTTTAATCCTTTATTAATACATAATTTTGGTGATCTCAGAAGGGAAATTCTTTCATGACCAATTATAGAGTGCTGTATTGCATGCTTGCCATAGGAAATAAGAATCCAGAAAACTCAATACATCTGAAAATGGCTAACTCCTCATTAGGAAAAAAAAATCAACTGGGGAAAATTGCTTTGGCAATTATAAAATGAAGACATCTATCTCACTTCCATTTTATGGGAATAAAAGTCAGAAATTTGTTAAAGTTTGTTATTTTGACTTTAGAAAGCAGTAATCCATTACATATTTGGAAGCCACAAAGGGGTGAAAAAGGAAGCAACTTCTCCCACCCTGACTGTGGAAACAGTTTAAAATTATGGAGTTATGAGCAAATACGTTTGTATAATCATTGAATATATATATATATATATATATATAAAACAAAGACCATGACTGGAGAAGAATTCAAGGCAATAAACACATCATGGCTGAAGAACATTCAATCAGCCGGAGATTAAACTAGCAAATAGGTAGAGATGAAGCTCTGAGGCACCTGATGGGTAGTAACACTATCTCAAACACTCAGTTCTCATTTTTGAGATGATAAAACTTAGATGAACTGGAAGTATTAGACACAAGCAAAGAAAAAAAAAATACATGCAATAGATTTGAAGGAGGCTGCTTCACGATCTCATAGTAAGGGCAGTACTGGAGGGTTTTAGACCAGGGTGCCAGGCTTGAGATGAAGGCACTCAATAGTGCCTCAATATTCAATAACAGACTAGTCCTCTCACATACCAACTAGCCAATTATTCGTAGTAACAGGGCAAAAAGTTTCTCAACCTGTGGCAGCGTCAAACCATAGCATTTGGCCTGTCTGAACCTGCTTAGGGCAGCACACTGACAGCACAGGACAGCAGTGCTGGATCTCTGTAGTTCTGCAGAGCTATTTAAACACAAAAATTAGGCTGTTTCTAGCTGAAGACCTCAGCTTCTCATGAAAAATCCCAAACCAATTAATTTTGTTTAAAGAAACCCAATGGAACAAGTTTGAGGGATTTCCTGGAAAATAGTCAGGTTATCTTCAGTTCCTCAAAAGAGGTTTTTGGGGTTGCAGTGGTTTTTTTGGAAGCAAATGAGAGAGGGAGAGACAGACACGGGGTGGGTGGGTGGCAGTGTGTGTCTATGAGTGTACATATACTCACACACAGGAAGGGGGAGGAAGGCACAATTAATTTATTTATTTAAAATAGCCACAGTTCTGCTTTCTGGATGGAAGCCAGTGCAAATTAGTACTTCAGGCCCTGTCTTGTATGAATTGTTATGGCACACAAGTGGTACAATTCTTCACAACCCCATTTGACAATTATTGCACAGGATAGCATCTTTTAAACTGAAGACAATTTTTTTTTTCTGGGATGTAAGTTTGCATACTATGTTTTTAAGTCAGAATTTGTCTAAACAAAGGGCTTTACTCTGAAGACAAGTGCTCCCTATAACTTCTTTGTTATTAAGTGGCAAGCAGTAACCAGCTCCCTAACTAAACAGTCAGACTTTATTTTACTGCAATATGCCACCATAACAAGAGGTCAGGAAGGGACACCTCACCAAAGATCACACATAGCATTGTGGATACATGTCCAGTTATTATCGTAAGAAACTATGCTGTATGAATACACATATTTTTACCTTCATGCAGACTCAGTTATAACAGAACACCCTCAGCCCTCACTGTTTTCTTACTGTTATTTCCAGTATCTGCCAAGCTTTCAGAGACACTACATTTTGGTGCAATCACTCTTCAGGTGATGTCCCAATTTTCTTTCTCACATCAGGCTTTATTTTTAGTAATTTTAAAATCAAGCAACTAAAGTAGGAAGAAAGGAGAAGAAATACCAAGTAGTACACTGTGAGGCACTGACGTAGTTTGTGACTGCCCAAGCAACAAAACAAGAAATCAGTAAAATATGGGGCTCCTCTACCTGTTTTCTGACACATGAAGAGCATTTTCCTCATCTCTTTGGGAAGTTTCAGGTTCAGATTCCTGGCTATTCTTTCCTATCCTGGGACGTTTTAAATGACTGCTTCGTGTCCGAATGGAAATGGGAGCTATGTTAGGGTCTTAGGAAAAAAAAAAAACAAACAAAAAACAAAAAAACAAAACAACAACAAAATAAATGCAAGTGAACAAATGCAGTTTAAGATCTGCATATAATTTTTCCCCCTAATATTTCATTAAAGAAACTGAGTGCAAATAAACCATCATTTCATTGTGGTACTTTTTTTTCCTCTGAATACACATGCATAATATCTTTACCAAAACTCATAACAATTTTATCCAAAATCCTCTGAAAGGTTTATGAGTTGACCCTCAGCACCTTAAAGGAAGGCATGTTTTTATACACTGTGCAGATGCATACGCTAAGATTGAAAGCGGTAGAAGAGGCTGCTAACCTATTAATCCACAGTAATCACAATACCGATAATCAAGGTTATTTTTACCTTCAGATGTGCTTGCATGGACATCTATTGATTCTTTACGTTTTTGAGAGTCAGCCTGTGAAGCAAAAGCAAAGCTAATGTTACTCCAAAAACTTCTGAATTGACTGAAATACCTTCATCTGCCTATCTGTGGTTGCATCTTTCTAAAGCACTATTTCATAGTAATGATCCTACGGAAGAGCAGCTACAACCATTCTTAATTTAAGATACCTACATGTATCTCAACAGATTTTTTTTTTTTTTTTAAATTATCTTTATTACAAGGATGAATATTTTTCTCTGCATTTTACTTCTGGTCTCAACATAGAAGATAAGACTTGAAAGTAACCTGTCATTATAAACAACACTACCAAGTTTGTTTTTTTTTCCTAACCATTCCATTTGTAACTTTCTGCAAGTTAGCTGAGGACTCAGTGGTCAACCACTTGATACTCTGAAGCGGGTACAAGCTGCACGCAAGTAAAATAAAGTTATGCACATTGCTCTTACCTGCTGGAAGTAATCTAGAACTGGCAATAACCAGCATCCAGGTGTTCTGCCACCTTTCCAGCCTCACTTCTAGTACTACCCAAGAAGGCCAGCAAGAAGTAGCCATATCTACATTCTGCTACTTGAAATGGTTTCAAGTGAGTTTTACATACCTAAGTATTTGTAGACTAATGACAAATTATTCTAGCATCAAAACACACAAAATAAGGAGCACTAAGTGAAAGGTAAAAACGCTGAGGAATGTTTTTTCTTGCTTTGGGGAAATGTGAGGTATTTTATTTTGTTTAGTGGTCCAACAGTTTTCAAAGCATTGCAGATATGCTTATAAATAGCACAGGTGCCAAGAAGAGAGCTGTCAGCAATGCTACCAAGCTACGAGGAGTTGAAGCGCTTCGGCATCTACCATCTTCCTCTTCTGGAAGAAGGCAAGAGACGGGGCTTGAGTTCTTAACTCACAGCAACAAAAATCATAGGAACTACTATTGCTCTGCTATTTTCTCCAAGCATATCCATATAGCTCTACAACCAAAATATGCATTTTTTAGATCATTTTTTTGATATGATCATTATTGGAATCTGAATCTAGAACTCAGCGATGATCCTCAAGATGCTGCTACAAATGAAAGACAACTAAGAGTTGTTGCTTCTGGTCATTTAGAGACCAAAATCCCCACTATTTTGCTGTCAAGTTTTGCTTAGGGAAATTCTAATTTCCTCAACTGGGCAAAGGGACATTTGACTTACATTTCAAATCTAAAGTTTAGATATTAATAGCTGAGAGTTTCAATTTAGCCATTATTTCCTATTTTTAATTAAAGCATTGACTTCTATGAGAGCATGGTCATGTCAATACTACAGACAGTCCTGAAGCACACAAATCCATGCTCACTGTATTTGGTGCTACAAGTTATTATCAAGCACATTCTGTGTGGCCCCAGAACATGAGACAGAGAAACAGCTTCATATTATTCAAAGACACAAATATATTCGTGACCACATATCCATATGTAGCTGGAATCTGTCAATATTTCAAATACGTACAATGAAAGCTACAGTTCTTCTATATGGACAATGTACAACTCTAATAGGAAACTAAACACTTTCCACTGTATTGAACTGTGATGTGAATGTGCACTTTTATAAACACTTTTCCTCATTCTCTGCACTCTTACAATGACTCTACTGTTCAACAGCATTTCTAGACAGTTTAATCTCAGAGCCAGTTGAAATACTCTCCCTTCTCTAATCTGCTAGCAAACAGCTCAAATTATAGACCCTTACAGCTGTGGCACAGACCCTCTACATTCATGGGGACATCCGACCCTTTCCCCTGCAAAAAAAAAAAGGTATTTTTAACCCCAGCTTAGTCATCGGTGTTACATCAGTGGGAAGCATAATATCCACCCAAAAAGTAACAAAAGTTATGTCTTTTATACATAGCGCTGACTTGAGCCAATTCAATTACAATGAGATGGACAAAGAGCATTTCTCACGCTTTTTTTTTAGTAACAAAGCAATCAAAAAAGAGGTAACAGTCTGTGTACCTACATTTAGCTGTGTTTCTAGCTCAGTCTTCTGTCCACTTGCTTCAGATACTGCTCCAGACGGCCAAAAGTGATCCTCTGCTTGGAAACTCTTATTTTCTTTCTGTGAGGCCTCTGCTGTTAAGATTCAAAAGAGGAAACAGGGAAATGGAAAATTATAGTACCTTTATGTAACAATTAACCATTCCAAATATGATCTCACAGATCTCAGGACAAGTGAAAATCTTTCTGCTAGTTTCCATGGGCCCGTGCTCACAGAAGGCACTGTTGTACTTGTAGAGTGTTTGTTCAACTTTTACAAATTGTCAGAAAACAACAAAACAAAGCATCCATACCTGCAATTTTGAGCTTTTCCCTTTGCAATATAGACATAATACATGTTCTCTGGTACCAATGTCCTGCTCCCTCCACTTCCCACAAAAGGTTATAATCCCCAGGGTACTTCTCAAGATACTGCTTACAAGCTGAACAAACATAAGAAAAAAACACTCTATTATATATACACTATATACTTGGCTGTACCTCAGTTTTTAAAGTTTATCTGAAATCAAATTAATTTGCTATCTTCCATTGTACACATAAACCATCACAGAAAGAACTGTTCAACAAAACAGTCGAGTCTGAAGTAAACATAATATTGCTTTACCCTACTCATCCTTCTCAATAAATCCTTTCTCCAGGTTTAAACACTTTCCATTCTTATCTTAAACTGCAAACAAAGATGGATGGGATTTTCTTCTTCTTCTCTGAGCACATACTTGAGAGTTTTACAGCTTTACTGGTCACTGTCCCTGCCAATCACAAGACACAGCCCAGGATGGAAGGGTTCTTAGGCAGAGGATAGAGTCAAGTGATTTTTGTCATCCCATGTTATTACAGACACTCATGAAAAGCACTCTTTGAGAATCTGAACATGTTACCATTGCATGGTTTATCATCCACTCACTGTTCACTTCTGGAATATTTTTTTCTCTGCTGTCCCTCCACCTCTTTTCTTCCAATACACATACTAAACATCCATGTGGAAAGGCATGCCTTCACATTATTCTGTAGTAGCTACTGGGAAAACTACCGTTTTTCACCGTTTCATTATTAACGCGTACTCTCACTGGACAAGATCCGTGCCGTATCATTCCTTGACAAAGGGAAATGGATTAGTCATCAAATTCTGCTCAGGACAGTTTGCTGGTTGAAGCCTAACAAACCAGGTCTAGTCAGGTCCAACAACAGACAGTGGTATTTGAAAAAGCTGAAAATTTCCAGTGGCTAAGAAGGCCAGATGAAAATGTTCATAGAAAGAAGTCTGGCAGATGGCCTAAGAGTAGAACAATCCTTGAGAAACAGGGCAAAGGAAATGTGCTTCTTGCCTGAACACAGTCCCAAGAAATGTTGTTTCCAGAATGCATGCCATTTCCTAGATGACATAACCCTCTTGGGTTGCTAATGGAAGAGCCATAAGTGTTTTCCTTGAACATTAGGACTGTGCCTTCTTATACCCAAGTTAAAACATAACCTAGTATGTCCATTTGGCCAGAAGTTCTTAGAAAGCATGAATTAAATGACCTTGTGAGGCTTAGGTGTGAGAAAGAAAAAGGTGCTACAAAGAAGATATGCATTAGATCACACAGAGAAACACCTCAGCCCTTTCTGGAGGCTTGGAGGGGACACAGTGGTAAACTTCACACTAGCAGAAAGCCAATGGAGATCCAATATCTAATCTCATGTAGAGGATTAAAAATCTAATCAGTAACTACCTCACTATCTTAAACAAATCAGGATTTTTAGCCTTCACTGAAAAGCAGAACATTTAATACAGAAACTGACGATGCAGCCACAAACATTGAACTTGAATGACAGCACGCATTTGGACATGTAAAGAAAGCACAAAGATCAAAAGAATAAATTAAAGAGCTTGCCTGTGTACATGAAGGCTGACAGCGGGTATCGTAGGCCAAGACAGTCTTCAGTAAAGGAATCCACAAAGTCTTCCAACATGATTAGCCCAGAGTCTTTCCCACGATGTTTCTTTCTTACAAACATTGTGTCTAGCACTGGCAGCAGATAAGTCTGACTACCATAAGAGCTACAAACACTTCCTGCAATAATAGGAGGGGAAAAAATATCCATCAGTACCTCAGCATTGACAAGCTGCAGCATGGATTTTAGCGTATTCAAATAAAGACTAATATAATTTATAAAAATTATACCAACCTATATAATTGTAAGTCATATAAAATTGTATTAAAATAATAAAAATAATTTATAATGTTGATTAAAAATAAATAATTGCTATCAGCCATTTATTGGCTTTTTGGGAGAGCTTCATAATGTTGCCAAGACATATCAACAGATTCATATGTTAGGAAAAGTTTGTAATACCAGAAAAGAATAGCAGAGATAGAGAGGAAAGGCTCACTTTGAAATCTCACTATAAAAATCCATAGGAAAACTATACTAAAAATGAAGTTGAAAGAGGGAGGAGGGACAAGGAGACAATAAAATTCTTGACTTGCACTTTTATGTGGATTACATCACTCCTCAGGACAAATATGAAGACTATAACTCAGCTCTTGTTTAAAGACTGAAACAATAATTCCACAAAAAATCCTAGGACACTTTACACTGGAATTCTCCCTTAAACAACACATTATTCATAATTAAACAAAGATGAAACAGACTGTCACAACACTTAGGTACTTCAGTATCAGAGGATTCAAACGGTAACTATGGACTCAGTGGTGTCAAAGGGATACCATATAGTGGCATTAAGATATCCCATCAACTATTCAATCCATTTTCAGGCCCTCATTTTGTAAGTCAGCATGAACTTTCCTCTAACAAGGCCAAAGAGAAGCATACAGCTGTCTGTACAACATAGTTGCAACTTTGTACTTCTGAGATGAATGAACATACTTATCTTCATTCTTCAAGCAAGGAAAATGTGGGCAGAGAGGTTACATTACTTGGGTACCTTTTGGGATACTAGTCAAGCTCCACCACTCTTTC